GTGTGTGTGTGTGTGTGTGTGTGTGTGTGTGTGTGTGTGTGTGTGTGTGTGTGTGTGTGTGTGTGTGTGTGTGAGCCAACTGCCCCTTGTCTCCTCCCCGAGGCACTTGGCAGAAGCGTGATCGGACTCTGGATTACACGAGATTGGGATCCATAGCACAAGGCAATGCGAGAGGAAGGAGGCCGAGCATGCAACTGCCCTTGCAGTTGCGAGCGCGGTCTGGAAAGCAGCGAGATCCAAGCGGCAGGCGGCAAGGCAGGTGGCGGGCCACCCACGCCAGAACTGGCTGCACGCCGGAGCTGGTTGCGCGTGACAGTTGTCGTGCACCATGCGCGCCGGTACGCATCTGAAGAGCATGTCGCCAGCCTCGTTCCAATCATGTAAGGACGGGGGGCGGGGGGGGGGGGATTTGTGAACAGTGCAGTAGTGCGTGCAACAAGCACAAGCGATTGTTGTGGCGGGTGTGTGCAATAATGACACACCAGGCTGGTCAGGAGCACGTAGGTAATGTGTGATGTTGTCAACAACGGACGCCGGTGCAAAGGGGCGCCAGGTAAATGGCAAGCGGACATATATGGCGTGCTGCCGACAACTCGCAGACAATTGCTCTGCAGGCAGCTGTCTGTTTGTGACGCATTGCCACACAACCTGGGATTGTTGCTGCAACCCGCATGCGTGGCATCGCTGAAGAGGATGAAAGGGTCCACACAGGCCCACCAATGGTGACAGAATGCACGTGTGCAGCCGGACAGGGATGTTTGGTACGATATGATACGATACGGTATGATTCGATAAAATACGGTATTGTACGTTGGGCAGGGTGGGGGCCTATAACATACGGTGAATAATACGGTTGGCATCAGGTGGGGTTGCCTGCACGCAGGCACCCCACGCGTGCGCGCCGCACGCGCAGGAGTCGCGCGCACACATACCGGTGGCGTGTGTGGTGAAAATTGATTCGCTCTGTGGCACAATCTGGCCAACTGTGCCCCAGCACACGTGTCCGTGCCTGGCAACACGTTGCTGCACTGCAGCTTTACAGGGTTTTCCTGCTCCACTTTGACGAATCTCGCTATGAGATTTGAAACGTCGGCGTTAGATAGTTTTTTGTGGTTTTGGTTGAGATACAACGACCGAAACCAGCCGAAACAGCCTCCATCCACCGCGGTTGGAAGCTCTAACCCGGGTTACACGTCAAGGGGCAATTATACGATAAAAAATATCGTATAATACCGTACGTTTCACCACTGAGTCACCGTATTGAACATCCCTGCAGCCGGACATGTGTGTAAGCGGGTAGGGGGGGGTTGAAGTGAAAAGCTCAGGTTGCGGGTAGCCCCCCAACCTGAGCGTTCCACTTTTCTGGGCAGGTCGTGCGGGCACTGGCGCGCTAGAAATCAGTTGAACAACGCGAACAAATAATTTACACGGAGCCGGATTGGCTGGCTAAATTGCTTTCGAGCGCGGGCGGCCGGTTCCGACGATCGACGTATGAGTGCCCCCGCGTGAGATGCCGAGCATGCAGGCGTGCACGTGTTATCATTCTCCAAGCAATTACTCTTGGTTAGCCTCCCTGCGATCCAGCCCGAAGATGTCAATCTTTCAACTCTCAATGAGTCAGGGCAGGGTGCCAGCTCATCGGACGCAACGGCAGCTACGATGACGGCAAGTAAACTGTTTCGAATCGCAGCTGCACGTAGTGTTGATGGGGGCTTTCATGGCTTCACATAGGCGGCCGCAGACGGCAACACGGCATGATGGTGCTGGGTTTGGGATGCGTGTTCCAAGCACCGTCATGTCTGAAAATCTAAAACTTTGATTAACAGCCGTGACTGGAATTGCGGTGCTCGCCCACGTCGAGTGTTTGGTGCCCCCCCCCCCCAGGCCACTTTTTACGTGCTGTTCCTCACGTTCCTTTCTTGCAGTTATGGCGCAGGTGAAAAATCGGTGCCAGCGCAGTTCATCACGCCTGCGCGCTCGCCCAGGTGGTGGTCCTCGTCGCCAAGCCACCGCCTTGCACATCCACAGTGAGGTGCGGGCGCAGCTTGCAGCACTGCTTGCGTCAGCACTTGCTGACGGGGGCAGAATAGCAGCAGCAATGGATGGCGCAGCAGAAGTCTCAGTTATGAACTCCGCAGCAGAGAATGGACCAAGCATTGCCAGAGGTGCTGGCAGTGGACGCAACGAAAGTACGCCGGCTTGTGCTATGTCGACTACTTCGTTGTTGCATTGGCAGCATGTGCAGGCAGTTTCGCCCCAGTCGTAAGCGTCAGCTGAGTGTATTGTCGCAATTTTACACCTGTTTTGGATGACATTGAGCTCTGTGCAATTACGGCAGGGCGATGGTTTCATTGGAGTTTATGACGCCGCAGCTGAGCGTGTGATGCGCTCGGGGCTCGGAAGGCGTCGTGAGGGCTGCCGCCAGGGCTGGTGGCAACGCCCCTTCACATGCAGGGCCACGCCAACAGCACAAAGGTGAGTGTAGCAGCAGCGAACAACCTCCTAACTTGTGATGGCAAGGGGATTAGCTTGCAATGGCAAGTATTTGAATGCACATAATTATCATCTGCCCCTCATTGACATGATACGTTTGCAGGCTTCTGTGACATTCTATGGCACGTACCTCATGATGTGGCGAACAAATCAACTGCGCTGCGGGGTGTTGCATGCCATTACCAACGGCCTGATGATCAGGACGCTGCAAATTGACTGGCAACCACGCCCATCGCTTGTTTTATCGCGCAGCGCAGGTATTGGTGCAAACACATTTGCAAGGCGCACGTTCAGCATGTGGACATCAACACGTCAGGGCAGGACCACGAGCGCGGTGCTGTGGAGTACGCCCCTCACAGCACCGCGTGCCAAAGTGCGTGCGCGTCAGGGCCCGGGGCTTATGATAGGCGCGCACACTTGCCAACATGCACATTTTTGTGTAAGTGTTGATTGTAGCACTTGAATGTGGCCGCAACGCTTGTGTTCGCGAATGCCGCTGCAACAAAACTTTTCGCGACTCTTTTCTTTGCTGTCCGAATTAAGCCTGAGAAAAGGGCCCTGCACAAATTCTTATTTTGTATACGTCTTTAATATTCTATCGTGTAAATGCTATTTACGTCATGCGGCCCGGGGGCGCTGGGCCTGCATGGGGGGGGGGTGAAGTGTCGGGTGTGCCTGTGCACCAGAACCAAGCCGATTGAGGAAGCGCACGTGTAGTGGTGGCCGGGGCCTGAGTGCAAGCACACATAGCAGCTGAACCTGCAGCCTGAGAGCTGAGCTTGCAGCTGCTGGTTAGCAGTTGTGTGATGTTTCATGAGACATCAGAAGGCGATGCACATGACATTGACGCGGGCGTTGCAAGTGGCAACAAGAATACTGATCCACTGGCCGTCGACCGCTGTTGAAGAACCGATCTGACCTTGAGTCGTGACCGTGGATGACGTGAATCCCGAGCAGGTGTCAGCCACATTGCCCGAGGCATCAGAGCCCGACCACCAGTTCACCAGGCTTGTGAACACGCCCGCATCTCGCAAACTCCTCTGGATGCTGCCCCCCAGCAGGGTCGTGAAGTTGCTGGCCAGGACAACACCACTCGGAGACTCAATGGGCAGGCTGCTGGGAACCCCGTAAAGGGCAGTGAAATCAGAAATCTGGTCGGATGCAGACGTCGAAAGGAACGCACGCGTCACCACAAGCCCGGCGGGCCTGAACGGCGAGGCGCTGCACAGGGCGTCAGTGCCAGACCGGCCACCAAGGTTTCCCAAGATCCTGGCATTAGATGCACGGTAGAGCACCACCCGCGAGCGCAGGAATTGCGCCGCAGGGACGCCGCCCAGTGTGACCGCGTTGAGGTTGGCCAGGTCCGTGGATTTTGCAAAAACGCTGAAGTCGATGGCAGACACGTTGGCTACGATGGTTGTTAGGTTAGCGAGGCTGGTGTTGACCGCCGCGACAGCCGCTGCGCCCGTGGTGACGACAGACTTGATGGACTCAACGGTGGCGTTGGCCAGGGAGATTGCTGCCTCGTTCGCCTGCTGTGCCGATCTGAGGGCTGCCAGGGTGTTGTTGAGCGCCCTGATGTCCTGGACGGCGGTCTGGTTTGCCGCCTGCAGCAAGGTCAGCTGCTGGGTGGTGAGTGCGTCGGCTGCTGCAAGGGCGGCGATCTGCTGGGCAACGCCGGCTGGGACGGTGGTGTTGGTCGTGATTGCCTTCAGCTCCTGCACTTGGGCGGTGAGCGCCGCAACCTCTCGCGCAGCGGTCTGGTTTGCTGCAGTAAGAGCCGCAATCTCTCGGGCAGCATTGGACGCGTTGGCCTGCAGGCCCTGCGTGTTGGCGGTGAGCGCCACGATTGCCGCCCGGAGTGCATCTATCTCGGCACGCAGCGCCGCAGTCTGGTTGCTTTCCTTCACAAGAGCAGCCACAGAGCTGGCCTGGGCGGCGGCGGCGTTGACCTTGGGCTCGAGGGCTGCCAGGTCACTCGACACTTTGTTGACCTGGGCAGCGGTGGCCACGCCGCAGCCGTAGCGCAACTTGGTGGGGTCCTGGGAGAGTGGTGGGGTGCAACCCACACAAGGGGGCGTGGTGGTGGGCGAGCCGAGATGGTGGTAAAAAGACACAGCCTTCTAGAGCTACAGCTGTATGTTATCAACATACCATTTGGTATGTGAGTGTATGTTGCTGTGGCTGGATGTCACGGAAGTGTCAATCGTTGCTAGCTGCTGCTGGTGGATTCACAAAGTCAGCACTCTGCTGTTGCTGCCACCTGCGTGCCACATTCACCTTTACCATCCACCAAGCAACGCATAGGCACCTTCTCATATGCGCATAGGTCCACGCTGAATGCTAGCACCTACCTTGCTGTCGGCTGTTGCGTTGGCGGGTGCCAGCAGCTCGGCGCACAGCTGGTCTACAAGGGCTGGGCCGGCCTTGGAGCACTTCTTCAAAGCGTTGATGGGCGTGCACTGCGCAAAGGGACGTGCGCGAGGCGGTGCATGATCGGTTGGTGTGCGCAGGGTTGTGGGTTCGTGCATGCCAGACATATCGAGAGCAGGCAGGCAGGCAAGTGAGTTGAGAAACACTGATGTTTTGCTTCCACACCGACGGGGGCGTGATCCACCGCTTCACTGTGCACGAGACAGGCAAGCCTCCCGGGGGGGGGGCCAGGGGGGTCGGGCCGCCAGGCAGCTCTTACCAGTGCCAGCTTTTGCTTTTTGGGGGTTGCTTGAGGGCTGCGCACGGCAAAGTACGGGTGAAAGGTGGGGGTCAACACGCGAGTGGAGCATCGCTGATGCACATGCTGCGCGAAGTGCGCCAGCATGCACCACCAGGAGGCCCTCTAGCAGTGCCACCGACAAGGGGTCATTTGCAGGCCGCGCATGCATTAGTCGGGAAGACAGCTGAAATGGCAGCATGCAGGCTTGTGCGAGGTAGGTGGGCCAGGCACACCAGCCGGCTGCTGCCAGAAAGCGTTGTCGGGCGTCACCCAACATGACACCAGGGGGAAAGCGTCCATGCTCTGCGCAGGCTGCTGGTGAACAGCAGCGCAACCTGCTTGTCTGCTACTTATACATGCGCCATGTGTGGCGTGGGGCTGTGGATGGGCAGCCCCGCAACATCCTGGCAGGAAACCCCTCCACCTCCCGCCCCCCCCCCTATCTCTGCCTGGCATACCTGGCGCCCAGCACCCCGTCGAGCATGTTGCCCAGAAGCAACACCACCACCACCATTGAATCGAGCGTGAACCGCGCGCTCAGCATGGTGGAAGGCACGATCGTGGCCGCACTCGCTGCAACGAAAGAACCACTTCACGGTGATGCAACGAGCCGTCGAACTTTTCATGCAACCCCCTAGGATTTTCGAAAGAGAAGCGCGGACACTTGAGAAGAGTGTGCTGCAACTAGAGGTCCACGAGGTTGCTTTACTCATGGAACTGCGAACCTGCAGGACCGACCCATCTCAAGTTTCCAGGTGCGCTACCCACAAAACGAATGAGTTGACTTGGTCCATGCAGGGCCTAGGTGTGGGCAAAACGGCTCTGATGTGACAGATCCACCCATCTTGATCTTGACGGGAGGCGTGCCAGGCCTCTTGGGTTGACACCATGTCATCAAGCATGGCGCTGCAACTCCATCCAGGAGGCTGTTCAAAGCTGAATATCTGTCCTTGAGAGTGAACACCTCAAATGCTACTTCGCGTGTGGGTGTCAGCACCAAGGATTCACGGTCTGTGACTCCCCGGTTACTACACACCAGAAGCACAGGATGACACCCCGACTACTGATGCGATAGGGGCAGGATGACACCCCCGAAACTGATAGGGGCGGAGGTCATTCCTTGTGTCTGTTCGAAAAGGGAGACAGAAATGCTAGATGAAAGACAGGCCCAGTCACCCAGCAGGGGCGCCTACCGGGGCAGGAAGCAGCGCCGCGGTTCTTGGCGCCGTGCACCCAGTGCCACAGAAGACGCTGCTGCTCAGGAAGAAGCCAGGGGCCCGAGGCGGCGGGCCTAGGCGGCCCACGACAAGCAGCAGCCACTTTAAGGGACAGCTTGCCCCAAAGCGGCAACGCCGCCCGCCCTCCCAGCACCGCGACCACCAGCCCTCCTGGTGCCCTCATGCTCATGGCTGGAAGCTGGAGTTGCGTGCATGCATACGTCACCATACAACCTTCACAGGCTCAGTTTCCATCAACGCACGGCCACAGCATCAGGCAGACCTGGGCAATATCGCCCTAATCTATAGCATGTAGACTACCTAGCCGACGGGAGAGCCCTGGCCACATGCGATGGTTTTGTTGGTGGTGACCACCGCCGCACCATGGTGCTGCTGATGTCAAGTCGCGCATGCTGATGTTAACAACAGCGCCTTGGCTCTTGTGACTGTTGACAGTTGTGAATTTGTGGGCATTGGTGTTCTGAGTGATGAGCTCATGTAGAAGGCCTATAATGGTGTTTGTCCGCTGCTGTGTGACGATTGCATCATCGGTCTGCAGTGTCAAAATGTGGGGACCAAGGGAGGAGCCGGACCGAGTCGATGCCGATGATGATGGCGCCTTGCATGACACGCACTGTTGGGATGGCGTCGTTGCCGCCGCTGTCGCGGCGACTTCTGTTCTGGCATACATATTTCCTTGGAGGCCCCTGTAACTAGTTGGGATTTTGACTCACAAGAATCCAGTCACGTGCGTTGCAAGGTTACACCAGTGGGTGCGTGGGTCAATCAAGCTCACACGGAGGCGCCCTGCTGGCTGCCTGGCACGGCCGCCCCGCCCCAGCCCGACTGCTGCAGCAAAAGCTGAGGTTTGTGGGACAAGGGGGGCCGCATATCTCTGGTGGCACGATCTGTGCCGGCACGCGGCTTGGTGCTGGGGCTGATTGCGTTTCCTTTGCACTCCTCAACTGTGATGCACGCCCAAAGCCCAGACTTGGCACACAGAGCAAGGCGGCGCTCGAGTCAATATAAACGCCAAAAAAATCTTGATAAGTGGTGGGAGCGGGGTTTCAACGCGCCCCATTTGATTCAAATGTGGATGGCTGGGTGTACGGGTACAGGGGTACAGCGGGGACGGGCGGTCCAAGTCGCGCACACGCGCCTATGGCAGGACCAGGCCGCCGCCTGCGGTCGCGGAAGGCGCTGTCGCCGCCGCCGCCCCCACGCCCTCCCCCGCGGCCGCCCCCCTCCTCGCCGCCGCGAGCGCGCCGACGCCCGTCGCAGCCGCCCACGCGCGCGCGTCGGCGCGGCCGCGCGCCACCAGCTCTTCCAGCATGCCCTGGTCGGCCGGCTCGAACGCCCACGAAAGCATCTGGCGTATATCATAGGGCCAGCCGCCAGGGGCGAGGTCGGGCGCTATGTGGATGCAGCCGAGGGAGGCGAGCTGCTTGGCCGGCAGGCC